TTGGAAGAGCATTGGGCTAGTATTCCAAAGGTCGTAGGTTCGAATCCCACCGTGGCCGGGCATATTTTTCAAGCTCGCCCGGTGTGGATATGCACTCAGAGTAACATCACAAACATATTATTCACCTGAGTACACAACACCAGCACAGAAAAAAATTAATATCTTCATTACTAAGAATAAACATAGCTTACATCTCTGGTTTGTCCTTCTTTCCCAAATCTCTACCTTTCAATCCGGCTGTGATAAACATCTCTCTCATAGCAGGAATAATTTTCAACGTCAAAAGAAATCCAGCTACAGAGAACAGCACATTCAAAACAAGAGGATAGACGACCATTTTGAAACAATTCGAATGTTGCTCATTACAACCATTGTCCACGAATACCGACATTACTGGCTTTGTTACTAATTCTTTTTCGTAAAATTCTGTTTTCACTATTAATTTTGATAGTTAGTAAAAACAAAATGAACTAAATAAAGTCATAGTTTATTAGCAGCGGCGAAATCCAAATTCCACGTACTATAGCGGCTAATTAGCAACAGTAGCCGCCATATTGAATATCAGCGCACCAGAGCGTAGCCAGGATACCAGAGTCTGGCACTAGATTTTAGTGATGGGCGATACCACCACTGAGCTATACTATATTACTGGAGGACCTGCTCGGGAAAAAAAAGTGAAGCCAAAAACATGGCGGATCTGACGCCATTGCCATGACTACTGGTCCCTAAATTCATGGCAACTACCACTGTCCCAACCGCGATCCTAAGTTTTCGACAATCTACTTCACCCCCCTGGTTTCAGCACAGATATTTTATGATTTCGCTTGTTTTTGAGGTAAAAATCGCACTGAAAATCTTGATATTTTTCTCCTATAACTTGGTTGATTAATACAGTGTCGAGGATCCTGCCTTTTTGCGCCGCTCGTAGATGTATGAGATGTACAAGAAGAATCTTTTTATTCACCGGTAAGATTTTTATATATTGTAGAAAATTTGAAGCAGAAGTACAAACTACAAAGTTTATAATACTACGAACATAAAAGTATATGAACAGCAAATTATTAGCAGACATAACAACCTGTAAATGGTTGGCAATTCTGTACATTTTAATAATAATAGGTTTTGTTTGTGGAAACACCACGTAAATTTATTTACAACAAGTAAATTGTACATTTCTGTACATTTTATTGTTCTTTTGATTTGGTACTACTACTGCTATAGCGATATTTGCGTAGGGTTTCATGGCTGGTTAATATGATTTCAAAGTCCTTGCTGTAGTGTCTGCACACTTGTATTTATTTAGTATTTTAGTTTATAATATAGCATTTGTAAATTCTGAACGCTGATTGGCTAAGAGCCGTGTTGATATAACTCCATGTCAACACGGGAAATTTTCCGCCGCTTGTAACACGGAAATTTTTCTTATTCTTCGGGCTTTTGACATTG